TACTTGATTATCTGTTCTCATTTACCCCCTGGACATTGATGTAGAAAAGAGTGTGAAACACCTTTTTAGGCGCGTGAGTGTAAAGAAAAATAGAAAACAATGGCCGGTGAGAAAAGTTGTGCCAACATATTTTTTTTGTTTCTTCTTTAGATGCAGGAGTTGGAAATGCAATTCATAGAGGTTAAAAACCTCTGCTATTATATATAGTGATAATATGAGAACAACCCAAAATAATGTAAAATACATTAATTTGATTCTATGGAATTAATAACTTATTTCATTCAAACACAAGAATCATAATTCTGGGAAAAGACAAAATAGGAAATATCTCAAATAGAACAGTACCTTTATTTCATTCCATAAATAATGCAATGAACTCCACCGGAGATCAAGATGAACAAGCCTTCTGGGATTAAAATTTCTTGCAATAACTTCCAAGGATAATTATGCCAGACAAACCAACGCAAGTTGTTGGAAAGGTACTCAATGGAGTCATCATGGCAATTGGTGTCAGATGAAAAGGAGGTCATCCTATCAACGTCGTCTTCAGTACATATGCATAATATCCTAAGCATTTTCATATTTTTCATTGCCTCTTTATTAAAGCTTAGTTGTCCAAAATACATAAACCAGATTGCTTCCATGGCAATGGTCCCCTAGTAAAAAGATCATGAGACAAATCATAACTACAGATGCCGTGCAAAATCCGCTAACCAATATCACTACTTTCTTTCTCCTTGCGTGCAAATTTTCGACATGTTATGTATTACTTCTCTTTGCACTTCAAGTTCTTGAAGAGCTAGTACCATTAAAAAAGATTAAGGTACAACATAAGTTAAGTACTTCTTAAGAAATATGTAGCTTAAGAGAAATGCCTTGCGTAATCAATTTTACTTTTAATGATACATTTTTTGAGAAGTTTATTAGACTCAAGTTACAAGGTTTTCCATGCTCTCACAAAACAAAATGGTAACTGAAATAGTGCCAATAATTGTCATCTTTTAAATGAAAAATTAATCAATGATCAAGTAAATTAGTAAGGTAAGTTTTGGCCCTCCTAAATTTTATTCTTTTATTTGTGAATTTTTACTAATAAAAAATTACTTAGGGTAAATAAATGGGTGATATTAGCTTTTAAAGAGTTATTGATTAAATTAGTACGTACAAAATATCATATAAATTTCAAGTTAATTCAAAGAATGATATTAGATTATATGTATTAAGTGGCTATTAGACTAATTCATTACTTATTAACATGAGATAAACAAACTAGGTAATGTTAATTTGAAATGGCTAATTGAAGAATTAGCCACATAGGAATAAAAGCTATTTTATATTCTCCAACTGAAGCAAACAACTTAAATGACCAAATATGAAGCTAGAGGAACAAATATTTGGAATTGGCCAAATATGTTTTTGGAGTAGGAATAGAATTGCATTGTTTAGCCTACTTACCATATTGTCCACCATCACATCTTCAAAATCTTCAACATTCCATATTCTGCTAGGTTTTCCGGAATCTTTTTGCATTTTCAATATGTATTTGCCCATGTCTTCAATCAAGTCATGCATTTCAATTCTATCATATTTAGAGATGAACACAAGGGATTTGTCAATTAGGACATCCAATCCGTATTCAGCTCCAAAATCACAGCTATCAACAATTTGCATGACTTCTTTTCTTTTATGCCCACGGAAGAAACATGCGATATCTAGAAATATCTTTTGCTCTTCGGGCTCCAGCCCATCATAACTTATTTTTAGTTTTTCAACAATTTCTGAACTAGAGTTTTTCTTTATTTGGTCTACCATTCTTCTCCACTGAATAAGGTCTTTCTTATGCAGCAAAGAACCCCACACCTTGAGGGCTAAAGGAAGGCCTTTAGCCTGATTTACTACCTCCAACGATAACTTCTTACAACACTCATTTGGAACTTCTTTTTTAAAAGCATGCTTATTGAACAATTGCATTGCTTCATCATCAGGTAGTGTAGGCACTTCGTAAATTGCATTATCCTTCTCTATCAAATGTCTATTTCTAGTTGTTACAATAACTCTGCTGCCATTACCAAACCAACCAACATCACCTGCTAAATACTCCAAATGATCACCATGATCTATGTCATCAAGCACTATTAACACCTTCATAGAAAAAAAGTTTGCTCGGAATCATGCACTTCCCATCATACTTATTATTGACGTAATCATCTTTTTTTCTCAACAGTTCATAGAGAAGGGTATTTTGTAAAGAATGCAGTTGATTCTTTCTTGCATTTTCTTTAACATCGGCAAGAAAACAAGTAGCTTTAAATTGATAAGATAGAGTATCAAAGATGGCTTTTGCTATTGTCGTTTTACCGACTCCACCTATTCCCCAGATCCCTACAATCCGAACATCATTGACTTCTATTTGAAGTCGGGATTTTAGTTTCTCTAAATGAGCATTTATTCCCACAACATCTTGCAAAAAAGATAAAGAATGAGCACTCTTGCAAAATTTGGAAGAGATGTGGTGGACGATCAGCTAAATTCAGCTGATCGTCCACCACATCTCTTCCAAATTTTCTCTGATTCAATCCTACATAAATAGGAAGATTGATTGTGGACAATGTGAGGAAGTCAAGTGTCAGTAAGTATTTCATATTTTTAATGTTCTGGAGCGTATTAAATAGGAAACATTATAGTTCAGGATAATAGCTAAATACTATTAAATTTTTTACAATAAAAGCAATTATGTGTTTTCAACTCACCCGTCACGGATATCATATCCTTTTAGATTTGCGACAGCAGTTAGGGCAGTTCTCCATCCTTGCACCTTCTGCATCTCCTCAACATCATCCTGGTACCTTACTTCATGTTTGGCAAATGCTTCTGCGAAGCTCTCACTTTGGTTTCGAACATGTGATGGATCCACATCATAGAAGATCGGTATGACTGCTTGTCCATTTTCTTCCTCCTTACATTCCATAATCTTCACTAGTTCATTTAAGCACCACCTTGATGTTGCATAATTCCTTGAGAAAACAACGAGTGCAACTTGAGACTCTTTGATAGCTTTCAAAAGTTCTTTTGGGATGGAATCGCCTTGCTCTAGCCTTTTATCATCTTGAAAGGTGAATATTCCCCTATTTTTCAAACCTTCGTACAAATGACCCATAAATGTTTTTCGAGCATCTTCACCTCTAAAACTTAGAAAGACATCATACTTCCATCGAGGACAGTACTGTGAATTACTCGCAAAAGACGAAGAAGATGCCATGGATTCAATTGTACTGTCTGAAAAAGAAAACACAAATTGTGTTTATAGATTGTAGTTGTGATAATAGAAAGAAATTGTAAATTATGGATGAAGAAGTTTGTTTTTTTTTTAAAATCTTAAATTATGTTAATGGCTTTCTTTGTCAACAAAAGCAGACAGCTTGACTTCAAAAAAAAAACACTACGGGTCCTAGTGAAAACAAAAGAAACAAATTTTTTTTTTGGAAAAGAAGAATCATCAACAACTGTAATTGATTAAAAAAAGGAAAGTATGTCGTATAAGTTGGAACATGGTGAGAGTACTATTACTCAATTTCATATATTTTTCATAAACATTTCCAACCAATACATTGTGTAATTTACTCCAAACTCTATAAAATGTTCATCTTCAACCTTGGTACCTTCAGTTAACAGCATAAACAAGTTCAATTTGGGGCATTTTACTGAACAATAGCAATTATCAAACAAATTTATATACCAAAAAAGATTATGCACAAAATCAAGTTGAAAAAAGAAAGCTCCAACCTAAAAATAACAAGATCCACGACCCCATTAACGAGTGTTGCGTCGCTAGTTGCTCCGGTTCACCGGAGCCAGAAGCTCGAGAAAGCTCTTCGCCGGAGCAGTGAAGAAGACAAAGGGGGCCGACTGGTTTTGGGTTAAAAGGGAAGTGGATCGGGTTTAATTTTGGGGCGGGTTGATTTAATTGGGTTGGGTTTTAATTTGGTGGGACTGGTGAGTGACGTGGACCTCTAATAGGAGGTTACGAGTCTAATTCTGACATTTGAAAATTCGTTATATTTTTCGTTAAATACTTTGGGTAACGTCGTGACGGTAGTGATATATGTGAGTTCAATATATCACGGATAATATAATGAGTCATTTTTGATAGTTTGATGTTATATTTGAGTTTTTTCATTATGTGAAATGTTAAATTCATGAATGGTCAAAACAAATCTTATTTATTATTATTCGCAAGTTTTACATCTCAACTATTAGTTGTTCCTTTTTCTTATATGAACTATCGTCATTTATGTATTAAAATACATCTTGAAACTGATTAGACCAACTATTACTACCTAAACTATCACTATCTACCACAATATCAGTCTTTGGTTCAATTTTAAAGTTTATCAATTTGACTTATCGGTTATCGATTTGTAGACATACTAAACCATTATAGGTCTATTAAGATATCGTTTATCATTTCGATTATCAATTTAACCTTTAAGATTTCCAAAATCATTGAAAATAACTCAGAAAAAAGGTTACAAGCCTAATGAACAATATACACATGAGTTGATATATTGTATTTTTGCTCAAAACAACTATTGTTACCTTGTAGAATAACCAAGAGTTAGAAATAGAATTTTCACATTATATCAAAGAACTTACCTATGGGCTATGATAAACTTTTATGATTTGACTTAAACACAATGCTAGTACCCGTTTCCTTCTAACTTTTGCCAGCAAAATTGGTCAGAAAAACAAAGAGAACATCCAAATCCAATAATTCAATGCATTAATAATTTTCCAACATCACTGTTTCCAGGAGCTACTTACAAATAATCATTACTTCATTAAGCTTCATACGTTTAAATTAAACTTAATACTAACTAATAATAACTACTAAATTTCAGTAATTAACTAGATTTTTTTTGCTAATATAAGGATTACATTAGACTTCAATTCTAAGTCTAAAGCCAATGTACCAACTCCAATTCTAAAATAACAAACAAACAACATACTCCTATGACTAACCTCTACTACAATTTATTTTTTTATTTGTTCTTTTAAAATTGGAGTTGTTACTCTCATGAACTACTTAATCCGCGTGCTAGATTTACCCATTATCAACGATTAATTCCTATTCACAAACTACTTCAACCATGTTGGTTCAGTAGTGGATCGATCGATTATGCTTCTTCAGTAGAATTTGATAGTGGTGGAGAAAGTATTTGAGCTCTACATCCCCATGGAAGAATAGTTGTTCTACCACTTGAGGTACGTTCGATTCCTGGAAATAGTTCCCCTTTAGTCTGCTTGCTTATTTGTGATGTGAGACGAGTTACTAATACTTCCAATGCTTCGTTCATCCATCCATTTTGACATAGTTTTCTTGCTTCGCGCACATTCATCTACAAATTGGAAAAATACTTGTCAGCTAAGACGAAGATGTGATATTATTTATGTCACACGAGTATATTATTATTGCATACCCAAGTTCTTTCGCGTATCTCTTTCTCAGGCCAATAGTCTAGTTCCTCTGTTACGAACAGAGGAAACATATGTCCTTCATAGGCAGTGTCACCGGCTTTGTTCTCAAAGTACCATGTTCCAAGTTTACACTGCAAAAGTAATCGAAAAACCAAAAGATTGAAACTTGTTACAACCATTTATTTGATGTAATAAACAAGGTAACGCGAAGATTTTGTTTCTTATTTTTCATATAAAAAGAGATCATGAGGGAGAACGAACCTCAACTTCACCTCGTACTCCGGCTTCCTCTATTGTCTCACGTTGTGCTGCATCCTCAATCGTTTCATCTTCTTCCCAACCTCCCTACCATAACAAGAAAAGGAATTTGTATTCAAAATCGAAACTTAAAGAATGACATTTTTTCATTTTTCTCTTTAACAAAATGATCTATAGTCACAAAAATGTTTGTAATATGTTTTAGACCATAAGTTTGAAAAGTTTTTTTTCTTCTGTTAAACGTCATGTTCAGTCAAACATCGTCACATAAGTAGACTTGGGACGGAGGGAGTAGTAGCTACCTTTGGGAATAACAATCCTTTGCCTTTTCTTTGTGGACTTATTAGAAGAACTTCAAATGCATCTTCATCTACCAACGATAACTCGATGAAGTCTTTATATCTGTAAGGTATACATCTGCAGAAAATAAATGATCAAAGAAACCGATATAGTTAATAATTCATCAAAAAAATACGTCTTTCCACATGAAAATCATACAATAAAGTCAAATCCATGTGATAACATTTTAAAAAAAATTGTACATCCATGTTCAGTAATAGTCTTTACTATTAAAATCTAGAAAATGGTATCAAATTATGCCATAACTATTCTTTAATTAAACATAAAAGAATGTCCTTTTTCCCAGGGGGAAAAAACAAGACATGTGATGAGTTGAATAAAGTTAGCCAAACACCACATGAATTTCTGATTTTTTTCAAGAAATCAAAAAAGAAAAATAGACAACATAGTTATGTTTTGCTTATAAGGTTCTGAATAAATTACTTGTTTGAGTCAAAGTACGTTACTCAGTTCTATCGAAGTCATAACTAATGATATATTGCCCTAAAGTACCAACACAAAAATCTTTAAAAGGAAAACTTTGTAAAATCCAAAGGACAAATTGCATTCAAAATATCAAAACTTTGATGCCAAAAATATGAAGAAAAAAAATCAACACATATCTACAAAAAATGTGTAGAAAAAATCAACTCAAAAAGACAAGGGGGTAAATGTTGAATAAGTCAATTGCAATTTGGAATCATAGAGGAAGATGACCAATTGACCATCTCTTTTAGTTTTTCCTTGAAGTCAACTCTCCAAACTAAAACATTTCTTTAGAAAAAAAAATCATTGTTAACATTATTGTTTAAACAATATTGTTCTAACCCAGAAATTAAATCATGAAAACAAAACATAAACATTTAGATTATCAATTAACCTGAAATGCAAAAGAAAACTAAGAAGGGGGAGGTATGACTTTCACGTTCGATCGAACCTAGTAATTTTGATCCAAACCATGTTATTCTCCTAAGAAATCCATTAAATAAGTAAAAGTCATTAATAAGTTTCAAATCATGACTCCGACTCAAGATGAAATTTTTGAACAAAAGGTTCACAAACTAACCAACATTTTCGACACGAAACATAGATATACACCTTAACCAACACAAAACATACAACTAACAAACATCAAATTCTTAACTTATAATTTCATAACGAGTTCAGTTTAAATTCTAAATCCGTCTCTAAATCATTAATTAAGTTTCAAATCCCGACTCCACCTCACGGTGGAAATGAAACTTTTGAACAACAATTTCACAAACTAACCAACATTTTCAACACGAAACATATATATATACCTCAACCAACACAAAAAATACAACAAACATCAAACTCTTAACTTATAATTTCAAATAACGAGTTCAGTTTAAATTCTAAATCCGTCTCTTAAAAGTTACACGAGGGTACGTACCCTACAACTTGGCGACGACCCTTGTTGTAACGTTGCAAATGCCGTCCGGAGCGTGACACAAGAACCACCATATCCTTCAATTCCATGACTTCTTCTTGCTTAAAAATGGTCTTTTTTGGTTCTTTTTTTGAACCAAAAAAGAAAATAATGACTAAAAAATAAACACTTTTTGAAATCAAACAAAACTAGGCTTGAAAAAAAATATCAAGAACAGAGAAAAAAAAGTTGAGATTTTTTTCTCTCTTTTTTTTTTCTGTTGAAATGATTGGTTGTGTGTTATTAAGGGGAAAAAAAACGGTTAACGATATATGAATAGAATTTTTCTTCAAAATGCTGGATTTTAAATGGTGCATTTTTGGGGTTGGCACGTGTGGGACTAGATCGGCACATGTAAACCGGTTCAGATAATGAATCCGGTTTTTTTTGTTATTGTTGTACCGGTTTGAGTTATTGTATGATTGAATTAGCTAAGGCCCACGCTCGTGGCATGGAGCGTGACTTTTGTAATTTATTGGTGTCATTCTGAGCGTACCTCGAGTAGTTTTACGGAATACATGTTATAATAGGTATGAAATATCTTTGCATGTCAAAGATAGAATAGATGGGAAGAAATTATTTAGTGTTTTGCCTATGTTAGGTTTTGAACCTGAGAATCTTATGGTGTTATCCTATACTTCATTGATTACTTGGTCAGACCCTTTGGGTGCGAGATTGTGCAATTTTATCCCTAGTGGTTAGGGCGAGTCTAAAAGCTTCGATTACGGAATCATGTAAATGAAGTAGTAACTTTTATACGAATCTTATATATTAAACTAAAAAACTTCACCAAATATTTGATTATATCAAATAGGAACCTCAAAAACTGTCTTTTTTTATTCTTTTCGTTCGTTATTCATACTTACGTATATTTGCATTTTCTCTTACCATGAATAAAATCATATCGTGAAATGGATGAATTTTACGACGTTTAAATATTTTGAGTAAAAAAATTCAATATTAATTCCTCGACTTTTGTCTATGATTTTAAATTATTTTGAATTGAATCTTTTTAACATAAGAAAACTTCTATAATATTGCTATTAAGGTAATATTAAAAAAAATTACATTAAATCATATATTTACGTCAAGAGGATAAATAAGATTATCCTTTTGGTAAATTATTTATTTCCCCTCCTTCACAATTCCCATAGCTTTCTTGGATAATGTAGATAAACTAAGGCCACACAGAAAGTCTAGTAAATTTCTTATAAACAAATAATAACAAATTTTTTATTTCACGATATATCAAGCTTTATTATATATCATTAACATCTCTTCACTTTGAATAAGAGACATCGAATTCTCCTAAAAATAAAAATCTTTTGATAAGCAATTATTTACTTATTCAACAAATTCTATTTAATATGAATTTAAATTAATGGAATGTGTGTCTTAAACACTAAATGGTTAAATTAAAATTACTAAAAAGTTATCTATAGAAGCTTCTATGTCAAATTAGTAAGGGTGTATCCTCTAGACTTATTTGAAAATTAGAAAAAAGATAATGATAAGAAGAAGAAAAATTAACATGCATGTTAAGAAAATTGGAACATAGTGAAGATTAAAAAAAATACATATAAACGTATTAAATTACTAATGTCAATTGTATGAGATCATTTCTTTTGTATCCTTATCTAATTAATTAAGAATGTTAAGAAACTTTTCTAGATGTATCATACTTATCTCACTCTCTAGAAAACTATAGAGACAATTAATATCAATAAACTAAAATTTAAATAAGATTAATCGTTTTTATCGAAACTAATTTCCTTACTCTGTATATTTTATTTTCATCAGACTTTATGACTTATGAAATTAGATTGAGTATGCTATTATTATTAAAAAAAATTGGACAATTAATATAATGTTCACAATGGAATTCAAACCCGCAAAAAATATGTTATTATTGTTGTTTGACTAGCCGTTTTTAACCAAGAAATAATAAAATGAGAAATTTGAAAGAAAGAAAAAAAAAAGGTATGAAAGCTAGGTTTTAGTTTAACACTTATTCGATTTAATTTAAGATGGACAACAATCATTAACCTAACTCTTTTTAAAAAAAATAAAGGTTTTAATGATTAATAGAATATTCTTAATAATAATTAGATTTTGTTTGAATATTTCAGAGAAGACTTAATAAAGACACGAAGCCGAATCTAACATAATTAACCATGTTATTACTTATTAAATTAATAATATTACAAATCCAATTAAACAAAAATTAATAAAAAATAAATGTGAAGTTGAATATTCTTAATAATAATTAGATTTGGTTTGAATTTTCAATAATGTGAACCATGTTCCTTTTAATCACTTTATATATATTTATGTGTGAGACTATGATTATCTATATTCTTTGTTTTAGGAATTTCAACGAAGTGTTTTTTTTTAATCTAGAAATAGTAATGGTGCATGTGAAAAAATATTTCCAGTAATCTTTTTAATTAATTAACCTAAAGATCGAAATTCATTGTCATATAAATTGAACAAAGAGTTGAACAAATGATGGTGTTTTGAGTCATGATGTATTATGTTGATAAGATGTTAGATTTGAATTCCAACGCATTATAACCTAATATATACACAACTTTACGAGGTCAAAAACGGTGGGTTAGAATTGTAATGCTCCATGAGAATAAAATATGTGTTCGAGTTCCAACATACTAATATGGCATAATACGACTTTACGTAGGTACATAAGATATTTGGAATCATAACAACAGACGTTGGGTTTAAGTTTCGATTACTCATTATGGCCTAACAAGACTTGATGATCGGATCAATAATGGTTTAGAGTCCCAACACACAATAAAAATAAGAGCGACGTTATGTTCAATATTTATTATATTATGACGCAACACATGATATTATAATAAAGGTAAAATATCGAGTTTAAATCCTAATGCATTGTACTTATTATAAGATGTTGTGTTTGAATCTCAATCCACGACTTTATAAGATTAAAATACTATTAAGGTGCACATTATTACTTCAATCAATTATTTTATGAATATAAAAGGGGTAAAGAGGATTTATCTTCCTATTTTACTATACATCCAAAAGCATTTGGTTAATACTTTCGATTAAGAAATTAAATGTGCAACTTCAAGTACATTAGCCTAATAAATAAATAAATAATTCTCAAGTGAAAAGGACAATTGATTTATTGACGTAAATAAAATGATAATAAGTGTGTAAAGTCATGATGAAAACATATGCATGCACAATTTATGTTGAATAATATTGACAAAACCAAATTAAAAGAGACTTACTATTACAAGAAAAATATTTCTAGATGAAGTGTGACCAAGTCTTCATAAATGATATTATCAACGGATGTAGTGCAGATGAGGCTGCTTTCCTTTTAATCAAAGATCTTGAGTTTGAATTTATTTTTTTTATGACAAGGAAAACCCGCAGCCGCTATATATGGAAAAATCCTTGATAGAAAACGCTTCCCTCTGAATGAAGCTTTACATGACTCGAATCCAAAGTAATTGAATTTCAATACAGATATCAAATATCATATTTTAAAAAACAAAAGATCTTCACAAAATGATAAAGAAAAATTAGAATACTCCAAACCAAATTGTCCTTGATGCATTCTTTAAAAATTAACACTTTAAACCAATTCTTATCTACTCATATTATTTTTTTGAGAACTAAAATGTTGTAATTATGTGACTACACTACAAAGCACTATAGAACAAAAATAGATTAATTATTTCAAGGTTATAATAGATGATTGTGATAAAATCATAAGTATTCTTTTATTATCAATTAATATTTTTATATGAGTCCTGAAAATGAAACATCTTTTAGTAAAAGACACTTGATTAATGAAATGATTTTTTCTATGTTGCTCAAAATTAATCAAGCTTCAAAATAAGCGTAAAAAAACAAAAAAAAACATATAAAGAAAAATGTTGAATTATTAGTGCTAATTAAATACATGTGAAATCATGGAAGGATTGGTCCACTTCTAGTTCAAGTGTCTCCTAGGAAAATTCCAAAACTTTGATGAAAATGACTACATGAATAATATTAGTATAGAAAATGTTCTTTTTCTTTTATTTTTCAAATCCACCTAAGTTTTCAATATGCAATTACTAAACAAATAAAAAATAAGATAATTTGAAGAATATATGATTAAGTAAAAGTATAAACATACACTGTCCATTAATAAGGTGATGATTTGATTTTCTTATTTATGCATGTATATATTATCTATTAAGCGTTTCAAAATGATAAGATTAGTATCTAAAGTTTCAGATTCAGATGACAAAAAAAAAAAAAACTCTTAATCAAGATAATTTTATTTTAATATATTTTACCTAATGAGAATCCATATCAACTCGATATATAAATCAAATATATAACATTATCATCAATAATAAATATGCCGATGAAAGACAAAATAATTTTTTGTTCAATTAAAATATGGACCGTCGTTGACTTACAAAAGATACCAAGTCTTCCATGTTTGGACAAAATTAGCCTGCCTTTGAGAAACACATTTAATTGCAAATACTTCATCCGTCTTAAATTATTTGTTGTGTTTTTTTACACATTTTTTAAAAAAAAATATTGATTAGAATTTTTTAGTTATCTTATCCTTGTTTTTATTATAATATATAATCTCTTTGATGTTTCTTATATTTCAACTATCGTATATTTTGTTGTATTTAGTGTTCTGTATGTTTGTGATGCTTTCATTTCTGTTTATTTTCTTCCTGAATTACTTTGGATTATTTTTTTAACTAAGGGTTTATTTGAAAAAAATTCTCTATCTTTGAGGTAGGATAAAGTTTACGTACACTTTATCTTTTCCAAACCCTATTTTCTGAAATTATGTTGTTGTTGTTGTTCTTGTAGAGTAATAAATAATCATTTTCATTGAATATTTACTTTATTTATGTGTCTATTACCCAATGGCCAATATTATTTAAGTGTTAGTAATCTTCAAAGAATTATTATTATTAAAGGTAAAACGAGGGGAGGAAATTTTTATTTTTATTTTTAAAATAATAAATTATTTGAGATAACTAATTTTAGAAATTACGATAAAAATAATTTGAGGAGGAGGAAAGTAGTTGTCTCTTTCATATCATTGAATTTGTACCTTTTTTAGATATTGAAATCATTCAAATGAACGCATTTAATTTCCGCCCACAATTTCAGAAAATTTCTAA